ATAAATGCTAGGTGCGGTTGTACTACTACCATACTGTAGTCATGCCATGAATAAATAACAAATATTTATGCAATAAATGGATTTGTTAAATAACTGGGTAAACTAAACACTGGAAAGTTGTAAAAGAAAGTGTCAAATGTGGTAGGAATTATAGAAGCGCATAGGAGGTGATAAAGAGAAGGAGGGAGGTGAATAGATGAAGCGGAGTTGATGGTGAAAGAAGGGACATTTGTGAGGTAGCCTTCGCAACGGTGGTTTGAGTCGTAGAAGTTGTGGTTGTCGAGGTTGTTAAATCATCCTCTTCACCATAGTATTCATGACTATAGGCAAATGTGTGGGCTGTTAGTAGCAGCAAAATAAAAATTTGGAGGGTACCCATAGAGAGACTGAATTCTGCATGCTCCAATTTCATTTCTGTCAACTTATATAGCGATAGTGGATGCGTGGGTGTTGCTTCTGCCACCACTCAGCTAACAGCTGCTCCTCTCAGTCGACTTCGATTCACTTGCATCAACACCCACGTCTCTGCACTACATGTTGATGCAATTTTTCTTTCTTATAGATTTGGGTGGCATTGGGAATGTGGGAGTTAATGTGGTATCAGAAGTCGTGAATTTCCCGCAGCAGATACAGGTGAAACATCGACCACTTGTATTCATCACCAGAATAAAGTCCTTTGTTCTACGACAAAACTCATACGGTCAGCATCGTTTCCCTAATTTGAGGAATGTGAATTGTCACTTGGGAGGCACGGCATGTTAAGTTGTGTGCGATTAGCATTGGCGTAGAAGGTAGAGTGCCGAGCATCAACTTGTGTAGAAATCGGTGAATTGGTGGAGTTAGTTGAGGTATTGTTCGTCAATTGAGGAGCAACATATGGCAGCCAAATCTCATTTGGTTATATTAAATGCTAACGCCGTAATGAGTTGGAAATGGCAGTCCACGCAACTCGGTTTTATACAGCCCTTCCCATAAGCAAACAACACGTTCAAATGCATCCATACGTTGAAAATGATATTTCTCCATCACTCCATTGGTTGCTGATTTTCATGCCGAAATGAGGCACTTGCTGTGGCAGAATCATTCTACATACGAATTGACTTCGTCCACTATTTGACTAGTCGGATCTCACTTCCATATTGCGCAATGCGTGTTCAAGCATTGATTGCACCCAATGCTTCATGAGATACATCCTCAACACTTCTCAATTTCAGCATTCATCCAACTGCCAATATCACATGGCTTATATTAGCCGAGATGTTGGAAAGCCCATTTGTTTTGACAATTTCGTTGATCAGAGCATCAGTGAAAAATCAAATTCCCAAAGGCTCCCAATTGCAAAACCACACTTCAAAGTGAGCCAGGCAGAAATCTTACAATAATGATGCTGCTCATAGAGGCGCATTGCAGTTTCGTGGCTTAATTTGACACTTCATCATAGGATTCCTTCCTCTTGTCAAAAAGTTGTGTTCAAAGAATGTAAGGACAAATATGCGTGAAAGAAGGTCCAACCAACTCTCCCACTAAACAAATTCCAACTGCTCATTTTTCTTGCAATCACTGTTGTCTGTCATTGCGCTGATAGTTATGCCTAAAAGCAATTAATTTAAAATGGATTAAGTAGATTTATGCCAATAGGTATTGTATTCATGACCTCAAAGTAATTTGCAATTTCCTAAACTTACTAGGCTAATCACACGAGAAGGTAAGAAGGAAGCACTGTCTAGTGACTAAAACGCCCCCAACTGTAAAAGCACAGCCCAAACTGTCTGTAATCTCAAACGCCCCTGCAATTCTTCTATTCAGTGTCCTTGTCCGTTTTACAGGCTAGTGCTCTTCCCCTTTTCTAATCTCGAAGGTCGTAATGGGTGCCCGACATCCATTTCTTCAGTTTTTTCTAGCCACTACTTCGCTCACTCATCCATAAGTGGGTACCTTCTTTAGTAAGTGTATGGTTCTAAAATAAAATTTATTTTTTTTTTGAAGAGAAGGAAGAAGAATTCATTCTTTCACTAATTAGTTACATTGTCCACCAATTCATTAAGATTTTCGCGTTTGCATGAACATAATCCAAATCAACTATACGGGTGTAGCACGGAGCAGATCATAACCTTCCACTTTGTAGAACTTGGGCTATTCATCTATTACTTCAGTGTGTACGACCTACTCTATGCAGGCGAAAATCACACCACATACATGGACACATTTGCTCCTTCTTTATCCGATTAACCGCTGTAAGAGCACACTGTCTGTCACTACCTGTCCCAACTTCAAAATCAATCATTTGACTCATCCAGAACTAACATCTAGTACCAATATTTGCCCCAATAACAATTTTGCATAGAATAAGGTTGACAAAATTTGGAACCCAAGAAATAATGAGATACATCCGTACAATTGAAATAGTATAACCAATAGGACTTCCAATAACACTTTTATCTTACTTGACTGCCATTTTCAACTGACAAAAGCCTGAGTTAGAGTGATAAAGTATATCCACAAAATTCCAGCTTCTTCCACTTTCCTTTTGTAAGAAGTAAGAGCTTTCCAATGCTGACGTCTATTTTCCAATGGGGAAAACACAAATGCTTAACTAATCACCAGGATTTGCTGGTCCTAGTCATTATCGTCAAAGTTAAACAGAGGAGTGGAATGATGTGCGCTATAAATAACTTCCTATTCACAAAGCATGTATTTGTTAACTGATGCAAGGGCGATTTTACGGGGTTATGCCCGGTGTGTATCCGACAATACCGCATCACTACGCTGGGCTCGCTTCCTGTGTATAATTGCAATAAGCTTGACAGGTGCGACAAATTCCGATCCGCTGTTAGGTCATGCATTGGAAGCAAGTATCCCCAATGTATTTCGTGTTGGCTGCGCTAGATCACTCCAATATGCGCAAAAGTGGGCAACTCTAAAATGTAGAAAAACATATATGCTTGCATTCTATTTAGTC